TCGGAGCCTTCGTGCGCTCCGGGGGTTTCTTCTAGCGTTAGGGAAGTTTCCGAGGCTTTAGGGGGTTTAGGGAGTCTAGAGATAAGTTAGAGAGAGAAAGAAAGGCTTATGGTGTGAAGAAAACATGAAGAGTTCATCTCTTATTCATAAGAGTTTTCTTGTAGAGTAGACCCTAAGTTTCATCCGTATCTTCCGCATACAATCTCCGTTTTCTATGTTCTTTATATCCACACATTGTTATTTACGAGTACTACAAATTTCATTTAGACCTCGTTGACTAATTCTCATTCTATCTCCGATTTGCAAAACTATATCGAATTTATCGCGCTCGAAGAGTAGGGACTAAGTTTCATCGATATATTTCACATACAAGCTCTATTATCAACGTTCTTTATATCCACACGTTGGTATATACCAGTACTACAACTTTCATTTAGATCCCGTCGACTAATTCTCACTCTATTTCAGATTTACAAAACTGTATCGAATTCGCAGCGCTCGAAAAGTAAGGACTAAGTTTCGTCCATATCTTTCGCATACGAGCTCCGTTTTTTACCGTCTTTTTATTGTTGAACTCCTATTAATGATATCTTCATTTCTTGTTAAGACTTTTTTGGTTAAAAATCCACCGATCTAAAATTCGAATTTCGGGTTGTGCATTGCTATGCTAAATCTTAGAAAAATCATAACTTCCTCATATGAAGTCAGATTTGGACGTTATTTATATGAACACTCTCAATTTAACATATACTACGACTTTCATTTAGATTGCTAAAGCTATAAAGTATTTTATCATAAATTCACTTTTTATGATTTCCGTTGTCGTGCCGGTTTTGCCGTAAAATTTCGATGGGTCATAAATTCTTCGTTATAACTCGGATTTCGGCGTTCTTTATATGTACAGAGCCCTTGTGACATATACTATAACTTGGTTAAGATTATTTCTTTTAAATAAACTTCCATCAAAAAGACATTTTTGACGCTCATTGTCTCTAAATTGACTAGCCCGAATCTGCAGGCGTTACATTCATTTAGTTATGTATGGACGTAAAGTTGACAACTTTACGTGATAATCCAGCTTAAGGAGGCCAGATCTGTGTTTTGAAAGCTTTGTATTAATGGATTAAGTGACATTGAGTTTGGGCTGATTAAGGGTGAGTACGTTGGGCGTACAAGTAGGTACGCTTAGCGTACAAGCCTCCAAGTGAGTACGATGTGCATACGTGCTTGTACACCCCACATACTCATTTTAAATAGGCTTTGTGTGTATGGGCTTCAGTGTGTGCTTAGTTGCTTGGGGCTTTGTTGGACCAGCTGAGAATATACGTTTTGGATTAGGAAAAGTTAACGGGGTTTAAGGTAAGGCCCATGTAAGGGTTTCCAATTTGGAAAATTAGGCCATTAGTGGGCTTTGGATGATTATTGGTTTGTGATTGGGAGTTTAGGTCTTAGTCTTGGACCAAACTAGGTGAGGTGTAAAATGGTATTTTTACCACATATATGGATTATTGGCTTTGGTTTGGAACCTAATTGTTAAGAGGTTTATTCGTGGGTTCAACTGTCTAAGTGAGTCTCCTCACTGTACTTTGGGCCGAAGGCACCAATGTCGGACCATTTGGTTTATGTATAATAGGAAGACCAGGGGTGGCCCTTAGCACTTGTATGAAAGACCAAGAGGTGGCTCCAGGCAAACTGTATGTAAGACTAGAGTCTGAACTCTAGAAGTTAATTAGATAAGTAGTTGTAGATTGTATGCTAACTGTCTTTGTGATGCTTGCATGGAAGACCAGGAGGTGGTTCCTAGCACTTGTCTGTAACACTCAGGGTTTTGGACCCCGAACTGGCAAGAAAGACCATGATACAACTCGTGGCATAATGACAAGACTATGGTTGGCACATAGCACCTCCTATTGTATGTATGATTTGTGTGGTTCGTATGTTATGTATGGCATGTGGTATTTTGGGGAACTCTCTAAGCTTCGTGCTTATAGTTTGTGGTTTATGGTTTTAGCTACTTCCGGTTCAAAAAGGTAAGGGCCCAGATTGATCGCAACGCACACATCCGTGTTTTCGGCAATTAATGATTTTGGGATTGTAGGTGATAGTTGTTTTATTCCAAAATACTTTTAAATGTTTGAATAAAGGATAAATGAATGTTTGAATATATATAAAAAATGATTTTTTACCCTATAATTTTCGAGATGTTACAGGATTATTCAGATGCTTGAGGATATGTTGCTAGCTTGCATCATTGATTTTGGTGGGAGTTGGGACTCTTACCTTCCTTTGACCGAGTTTTCTTACAACAACAACCATCATGATAGCATTGACATGCCTCCTTTCGAGATCTTATATGGGAGGAAGTGTCGGAATCCTATCTGTTGGGGATAGGTTAGGCAGTAAGTCATGGGGAGCATTAAGATAGTTCTTAAGATGATAGAGCTTATCGAACAGGTCAGACAGAGGTTTCTGATGGCCTAAAGCCGCCAGAAGAGTTACATGGACAGACGACGCTTTGAGTTGGAGTTTTAGGTTGGAGATTTGGTGCTTCTGAAGGTATCACCTTGGAATGGTGTTATCTGATTTAGGAAGCGAGGCAAGTTGGCCCCCGAGTTTATTGGCCCTTTGATAGTGATTACCTGAGTAAGCAAGGTGGTCTAGAGGTTAGAGCTGCCTGAGGAGTTGGGCTAGTTTCATGACACCTTCCATGTTTCCAAGTTGAGGAAATGTGTGGTCGATAACACAACTGTGGTCCCTTTGGAGGACATTCAGATCAATAGTCGTCTGAATTACATGGAGAGACCGATGATAATTCTGGATAGGAAAGTGAAGGCCTTGAGGAACAAGTTAGTGAATTTGGTCAAAGTTCAATGGCAACAACAAAAATGTTCGGATCGGAATTGGGAGCCCGAGGACGAGATGCGTGAGCATTACCCTGATATGTTCGCAGAGACTGAGTTCGAGGATGAAGTATGATTCTAGTGGAAGAGAATTATAACACATGTTGCCAGTTATTTCCATTTTAACCCTTAGTATTTTAATTTATTTGCAATTAAGCATCTTATTCTGGGCGTACAAGGTTTGTACTTCGAGCGTAAGTTAATAGTAGAGTCGTGGAGGAGGAGTGTGTTGGACATACACATGAGTATGTCGGGCGTACTCGTACAACTCTTTAACCCTAAAATTTTAGGTTGTGTCCCCTATTTAAGCATCTTAATCGTCTTTAGACATTCTTATGACCAACCTCCATTCCTCTAAACCCTAAAATCGAAACCCTAGCCCTTGTGAGTGAGATTTCAAGCTTGTGAGTGATTTCTGAGTGTTTTTGGTAGTGAAGGAAGATCATTATAGAAGCGGTGTTGCATTCAAGCTTTTGGATCCAAAATCTTCATCTACTTGTTCATCTTTTGAAGGTATAAAGTTCATACCTTGGAGCTTGTTTTGTTAGATCTTGTTTAAGCTTAGATTTATGTTCATTTTGTTCCAAAACATTGATCTTTGATAATATGGAATACTCCATAGCATATGAGTTGTCCTTTCATACGTTTTAGGGTGCATAGAGTCATAAAATGCTAGCTTGGCCCTTTCCTTTCGTCTATGCATGAGTTATGGAGTTTTTGGTGAAGTGAAATGTTAAGGTTTTGGGATTAAGCTCTATTTAGCCATTAAAAGGCATAAAGTCAGAGAATTTATGGATTAGGATACCTTTTAGAGTCAGATCAAGGATTAGGTAAAGTGTCTTAATGATTAAGACATTAAAAAGTGATTTTTAGGATAAGCCATGTACACCGTGCGTAATTCTGGCTACGCCCAACGTAGCTAGTTGCGAACCCAATCATTTCCTACCTTGCACTCTTCGCCCATCGTAAAGCTGAGTACACCGCATGTAATGGTCAGAGTGTCGACCTTTAACTTTCGTTTACTTTTTGACCAATTGTGCCTTAGGTGGATTTATGATGGTTTGTGGGGTTTGTAAGGGGCAAAATGGTCTTTTGCCCTAAACGTGGATTTTACTTGGCTTGGGACTAGTCGAGTATGGGAACTTACCTTAATTATTAATTAGGGTTAATTGATGTAATTGTTAGGCCGAGTCTAGTCCCAGTAGTTCGGGTGTGAGTTCTATATATATAATGTGTGTGTGTGTGATGACCAGCTGCGTCTATGTGTTATGACTGTACGCATTCAATTGTGATATGTGTTAATGTGTATGCTGAGACTTTGGTTTATGATTGTACACACCCCCTGTAGTTTATGATTCTAGATATTTTGGGACAATCTGAAATTTTAATGATGATCTGTATTGGACATTTGTGATTTTCTTGAGATGGTTTTTTTTATGAACAATGTTTTTATATGAACTTAAAAATGAAAATTTTGGTTTAGAAATTTGGATGTTACACACACACACATAGAGAGAGAGAGAGGGGAGAAATTGAGGAAAGTTCTTCTGAGAACTAAAAAATTTGCGAGAAGTTGAACACTCCTAACCTGCTCATTATTTGTCAAAATCAAAACAACAAATAATAACGAAATGCAGCGTCTAAGCTATATCTAGAACCAAAAAAATATTTGACGATTTTTTTTGAAAAATATTCTCATAAAATATGCATGCATGCATATATATGAATCCTCAGTTATATCTATATCCGCAGTCCATATGACTGCGGACACTTAGTTCTCAAGTTTTCACAAATTGTTAAGTTATCGTAATAACTCAACTCCATATATATATATATATATATATATATATATATATATATATATATATATATATATATATATATATATATTTGTGTGTGTGTATGTGTGTGTTAAATTTGTTAAATTCTATTAACATGGTTAATAAAACTCTTAACATAAAAATAAAAACAAAACAAAAAAAAACCCAAACTTCGGTTCTATTTTGCTTTTAGCTAGGGTGTGTTTGGAAATGAGCATTTGAGAACTTCTAGTTTGTAGCATTTGAGAACTTCTAGTTTCTAGCGTTTGATAAAACACTCCATTTTTAATAATAAACATTGTTTGGCACTAGAAGTTTTCAGTTTAAACAAAACACTTCAAATCCAAAAGTTATCTCACGTAATGTTTAACAAAATGCTACCCGCTACCAAGTAGTTTTGTGGAACACGCCCTTAATCTAAAACTAATCCGGACCGAACCGTGCTCAACTCCAACATCATTTATAAGTTCTAATTTTTTACAATTTACATTTGATTTTTTTATTTGATTTTTTATTCTATAAAACAAAAAAAATGGACAAGATTCCATTCCATTTTCTTACCGACCTTCTTCTTGAGTAATAGTCAACTGATTAATTTCCGACTTACTAGAAGATGATGGCAACCTATCAATACTTTTTTTTGACACAAAAGCTGGTTCTTTAGGATCCGGTAGGCTCTCAATATCCATCCCTAACATTAAAACCACATTTACCATTGTTGGCCGATCTCCAGGGTCTTCTTGTATGCACAATAGCCCAACAATCATACATCTCAACACTTCAATCGAGTTGCATGAATCTACTAATGCAAGATCTACTAATTCAAGTGGCCTTTTTGCTTTCCACAAACCCCACGCCTGAAATGCATCCAAAATTAGTTTTATAAAAAAATATGAAATTTTAACAGAAGATACGAGTTTAAGAAAACTCACATAGGATATAAGGCTAAAGGCTTGTTGATTATGATAATAACCCGTGTTTCTTTTCCCACTAATAATCTCCAGTAAAACCACTCCAAAGCTAAAAACATCGGATTTTACCGAGAACAATCCATCTAACGCGTATTCTGGAGACATATAACCGCTGTGTAATAAAAACTCATCAAGAAAATATTAAACATAATAAAAATAATCAAAACCCAAATAAGATTATAATAAAAATAATATTATTTTGTTATCTATAAAGATAATATTGTAATTTAATTGTTTAATCTTATATTAAAGATGTATTCAAAAGGGGTTTTCTACACCAATATTTTATTCTTCCAATCCAATCCATCAGACAAACCGAGCATTTTTTTTTTCTTTTCATTCCAACTAATTGAAAATTTTAATTCCTTCTCCGATTCCATCATACCACAAACACTACCTAGAATTACATAAAATTTGTTATTAGATTTGAACATAGGATTTAGATTAGTACTTACTAGGTTCCAACAACTCTAGTGGTATTATCTTCGGTTTCTCGGCCTTTAACTATCTTTGCCAAACCAAAGTCTGAAATCTTGGGATTCATATCTTCATCTAATAACACATTGCTTGCTTTCAAATCTCTATGAATAATCCTCAACCGTGAATCTTGGTGAAGATACAAAAGTCCTCGAGCAATCCCCATGATGATATCAAACCGTAAATCCCAATCAAGACACACAGAAAGCGTCCTATCTGCCAAAAATCCCATCAAATCCCAGGATTTTAGATTTCAGAGTTGAAGTTCTTCACATATTATAATAAGAGATTGAGAAGATACACATGAAACCAACCAAATATGAAACGATCCAAGCTTTTATTAGGCATGTATTCATAAAGTAGTATCATTTCATGATCTTTCATGCTGTATCCCAAGAGCTTAACAAGATTACGATGTTGAAGTTTCCCAATCAAGACAACTTCATTTTTAAATTCCTTAAGCCCTTGTCCTGATTGGCTAGCCAACCTTTTCACTGCCACTTCACCAACTCCAGGAAGCATTCCCTAATATAATTTAATTCGCATTTTAAAATTAGAGCAATCTTTTACCAATATAAGTATAATTTGATAACAAGCTAATATAAAGAGCTGTTACCTTGTAAACAGGCCCAAATCCCCCTTGACCAAGTTTATTTGCAAGTGAAAAATTGTTCGTGGCAGATAATATGGTTTTAAATTGAATGAAAGGCACATCAATTCCTTTTCTATCTTCTGCACTCAATATCCCTGGATCTACCAAATATCTAACATTTCTTCCATTGTTTTGAAAATCAAGTTCAAAATTCCCCCCATTATCTCTGCTTCCTGATACATTAATTAAAATCAAATAAACAAGACAAAACATGCTACATTTGTTTTAAACCCTTAACTATTATTACTATACTTGAATGTCAAGATAAAATGATTATAATATTTTAAAAGAAATAAACAGAGTTAAAGAGAAAGAAGCGTAGCATTCTGCATTTAGCCATTTACCTTTTCTTTTCACCCTTCTGTAGAATATAATACCAATGCTACAAAGAAACACAAGACCACAAAACCCTGAAACGATTCCTGGGATAAAAAAAAAAAAAAAATGAAGTTTTTTCAAAAGTGATAAAAGACCGTTTTATATTGTGTAGTCTGCAGGGGTGAAAAAGACAAAAATCACCTGCTACTAGAACTTTGGTATTGATTTTTGTAGTAGTGTTAGCAAGATCGGACGCAGAAACTTTGATTTTTAATGGAAATGTCGGATTATTAGAATCTACCGAAAGAAAAAAACTTGATATATTATTCAAATTCTGAGTGTTCAAAAGTAAACATTTATTGTCGATAACCCCCATATGCGTCACAACTGCAGTCATCCAAGCAAGATCTTTGGCATGCCGCTTCATCCTTTGGAGTTCCTGTTTCCAGAAATTTGGAAACCGGTATCACTGGGAGATAACCTACAATGAAGCCAGGTTTTTCATCCTTAACACTACAATTAAATTCAATTTTTCTCACACACCCACCAGAGAAATCACTCTGATTCCAATCTCTCTCTGATCTTGGCTTGAAGCCACTCAAGCAATTACAGAATGGAAATTCGTTCTGCCTGCAACTACCAAAAGCCCCACACACAGCATAGACCTCACACACTACTCTAGGTTGAGACCAAAACAAATTCCACTCTGCTGTAACTCCAAGGTATGACAGCTGTTGAATCTGTCCTGAGACGTCCATGATGAATCTTGAAATAATTGAAGGATCATATAAAGAATATGTAAAATAACTCTCGTTTTCATTGTCAACGTAGCTGAAGTTATAGATATAATTCAATCTCATTTCGGGTACAGAGCTAAAGATTCTACCATTCCAAGATCCACTTGCCCAATACTGTTCACTTCTATTCCATTTAATCACATACTGTTTCTCATCTTGATCAACCTCTAAAGAAAAGGGACCCATTGCAGGATCTTCTGTACTTTTCCATGAAGTGATAATCTGCTTTGTGTTTGTACGCTTGTTGTATCCCAACTTGCCACCAGGCAAGAAAGTATGGGTTGGATGATCAAAACTTTGCCAAATTGGTGTGATTGAACTTGAATCATTTCTCAAAACTAAATTACCATCATCAAGAAGAACTACTGATAATGCAGAAGGTGTGGGTGTAGGTGTTGGGATTATATTTGTAGACCAAATTTGGGTGTTTGACTCATTTAAGAGCACTAAGTTACCATTTACAATTTGCAATTTAGAAGACAATGCATCGGAGATGGGTGTCTCTCTATTTGCTACCCAGACTACAGTTTCAGGAGTTGTTCTGACGTTCTTGTACCAAATTCCTATGTAAAAATTGGGAGACTGACCTGGTTTAAAGAAACCCATTTCGAAATTTCCAGCATCAGAGATAAGGGTCTGGAATCCAGACAGAACTTGATTCACAGCTAAATTATTATTAGCTCCTGATGACAGAGAAGGAATGGAAAACAAATACAGAAAGAAAAAGAAATGATCAGAAGCTTTTACAATCATGCTGATTCCTACAAATTATGAACACAATACTTGGACAACATAAGCATAACAAGGTAAGTACCCAAAGTTTAACCATATAACTGTTATTTTCAGTCTCCCCATTGTTTTTCGTTGACCCAGTCTTCTTCGTCAACACATTAACATCATATAACATTTATATTTTTCAACATCTAGCATTATTAAATCATAACATTTTCAATCTTGATTTCACATGATGATTTAACCATTACACAATTGTTTTACAATTTTTTTACAAAATTATTTTAACATAATGATGAATTCGAATTTAAAATATTAATTTTGTTTACAATTGTATTTGTTTTTTAGATTTTTTTTTTTTACATTTGTTATTATAAATGGTTGTTTTTATAGTTTTTATGTTTTTATATCTTTATTTTTTATGCGCATGCAACTTTTAATATATATATATATATATATATATATATATATATATATATATATATATATTTCATATTTAGAAATTTATTTTTTTTGTAAAATTTGTTTCCAAATTTATTACATATTCCTTTTCGTACATGTAAGGTTGTATATACATATAACTAGTTGTGAGATCTATGTAGTATATGTGGTTATTAAAAAATAAAATAAAAACAGCCATGAAGATTTAAGAATTTAGAAAGTTTGAATATATAAAGAAAGAGACAAATATTTAACTATTAAAATTGAAGTGCTTATTTCTCTTTTTGAAGTTAAACACATAATTTAAATAAATAAACAATTAAAATAATTAGATTCAATTTTAAAATTTAGAAATTATAAGATAAGTTGCATTAATAAATTTGATATGCATTTATTATTATATTTATTACATTGAAATATAAGATAAAATTTAATAAAATAAAAAAAAAAACCATTTTAAAATGACATATGATATAATACATGAGAAAATGACAAGTGGCAAAAATGATTTTTATTTATTATAGTAGATAATTCTTGTTTACATATTCATTTTAACGAACAAAAAAAGTACTATTATGTATGATTAAACCTAATTCTTATATAAATTATATACTTCCGACGTCATTTACATAAAATTACTTTTATTACAATATTTTTATCCTAGTTTTTATGCATGTTTTTTTTAAGTTATTTTTATTATATTTACTCCTTTTAGAATTTTTTTTACAACCTATTTTACATATTTTTTACAAATTCATCCAAAAATGCATATAGCAACGCACATGTAAACACGCTAGTTCTATACATTTATTTCTCTTTCGAGTAAATTACATAATTTGTCCTATGGTTTAGTTGAATTTGGAGGTTCAATCCAACTTTCAAAAAGTTTGATCGGCCACATACATGTGTTTCCAAAGCTTACGGTTTTGATCCCTTGTCCTTGTAAAATAGCTATATCTTACCTTGATGTATTATTTTTGATTTTATTATCTAAATAATAATAAAAAAATGACTATTATATTATAGTAATATAGTGGGCCACCACCTTAGCCATCTCCATTTTACTTTGTTTATCTCATATATTCTCGGTCACAACCATCGCTGGTAAAAAACCTCCTACCCTTCGCTTAACATTTGTATGGCATTATGACGCTATTTATTGCTGTGCCATCCACTGTGTGAAAGCAAAATCGAAACGGAACCAAAATTTAGAATAATTAAAATAAAACCTAAACAAATTTGAAAAAATCAACGGTTTGATTTTTATATTTTAGATGAAACAAATTTTCAAGTCTAGTTTCGATTTTTCTATATATTGAAAAAAAAACACAATACTCAAACTAACATCATCATTTGTATATGTTAATTTATTAAGTATGCTAAAAATTAAAACAATTAACATGTATTTGCGATTTCTATTAAAATTTTAAAAAATAAGTGATACAGTCCACCTTCCTGCACCAGCCCACTTCACAGAAAGGCCCGAACGAGAAAGACGCTCACCTTCACGTTTATTGGATTAACCATTTGTGCTGCCCTACAATCTCTTGGGGAACAAAGTCAAACAAACAGGCCCATGTTTTCCTTTTATTTTACTGCACAATTAGTTGTTTCCTTTCTTTACCAAATTGAATTTCTAAAAAGTAGAAGTAGTTGATACAGGGTTAGTTTCGTTTTTTTTTTTTTTTTTTTTTTTTTTTTTTTTTTTTGTTGAAGTATTTAAGTTTTGTAATTTTTGTTGAGGGATATACAGAAAATTGCTCCAAAAATATTTTCTTTCTTCCTTTGAATTCATGGGAGTTCACGACCGACTTGAAGAGGTCGTATCATTTGGTGCTTTCATTGCCCTCATGCCTCCTGCACACAAACTTAAGCCCCATCAATGTAAAGCCATATCGATATCAACACTTTAAAAAACAAGTCATCACATAACTCATCAAAGAAATGCTTCATGGATCATCCAACCGAGCCAAAGCCCATACTCATCGCTCGTTCTTTTGGTACGAAAGAAAGATGGCACTTGGCGGTTTTGTGTAGACTACCGAGCTCTAAACGCCATAACCATCAAAGGTCGCTTTCCAATTCTAACAATCGATGAACTTTTGGACGAGTTACATGAAGCTACCATTTTTTCCAAGATCGATCTCCATGCGGGATATCATCAAATCCGGGTTGCAACAAACGGCATCCACAAAACGACATTCTGTAGCACTGATGGCCATTATGATTTTTTAGCTATGCTGTTCGGCTTGTCAAACGCACCATCAACCTTCCAATCAGCTATGAATGATTTATTTTGTGATGCTCTACGTCCTTTCGTCCTTGTATACTCTTTGACGACATACTCGTATATAGTCGTTCTTTGGATCATCACTATAAGCACTTGTAATACGTTTTCAAGGCACTCCAACAAAACAAATACCATGCAAAGTTATCAAAATGTGTTTTTCGTGTTACCACAATGAACTATGTGGGTCACATTATTTCTGCACAAGGAGTTCAAGCAGACCCAAAAAAATTTGAGTAAATGCAACGTTCGTCGACGCCCCACTCTTTCACCTCCTTAAGCGAATTTCTTGGCTTGAACGGTTATTATCGCGAATTTGTTTATCATTATGCAATGATTGCAACATCGCACACTGACATCCTTAAACTTCCACAGTTTGAGTGGAACCAGCAAGCCGCCTTTACCTTTGACTTACTCAAAACAACCATGACTTAGTTACCATCGCTAACACTCCCAAACTTCTCTTAACCATTTGATGTCACAAATAAAGGATGCATCGGGAATGGGCATTGGTGCGATACTATCTCAAGATGAACTGCCCATGGCCTTTTTTTAGAAAAAAAATGTTGCCTAAAATGCAAGGGAGTTCAACATATATCCGTGAATTGTATGCGATCACAGAAGCGGTAAAAAGTGGCGTCAATACTTGTTGGGCCGCCTTTTTCGTATTTATACAAATCAAAGGAGCCTCAAACAACTATTGACTCAAGTCATTCAAACCCCTGATCAATACCATTGGGCGACTAAACTGTTGGGTTATGATTTCGAGGTGTATTACAAACCCGACAAAGAGAACCGAGTTGCGGATGCATTAAGTCGTCAAGACGAGCCTATCCTATTTGGAATCTCCTTTGTTCAAGCTACTTGGCTCAAGACACTTTGCGAGTATTACCAAAACAACCATGAAGGGAAACAACTTTCACAAAGATCGACCGGAGCAGATGCTATACCAGGTTCGTTTTTTGTGTCGGTCTTTCATTCATTCACGATAGGTTGTTTATTCCACAGGTTCTAATGATCGTGAAGCACTACTTTCTGAGTTCCATAGTTTCATCATTGGTGGCCATGTTGAAGGTCATCACTAGCCTGATAGAATCATGTTATTGTCTAGAACAAGTTATCATGTTCTAGAATGATCTGGAAGATTCTAGAACATTATGGAATTCTATGGAGAAGTCTATAAGATGCTAGAAGATTCTAGAACATTATGGAAGACTATGGAAGATTCTGGAATATACCGGAAGAGTCTAGAATATTCTAGAACGATATGGAAGACCCTGGAAGGTTATGGATCATTCTAGAAGATACTGGAGCAACCTAGACCTCTCCAGAACATGATAGAACGTTCTAGAAACATATGGAAGCATGTAGAGTATGTTAAATAGTTCTAGAGTTATCTAGTATGTAGTAAGTGTATACTAGTATCTAGAACCTTCCTAAGAGGTCTATAAATAGGTATGGAGCTCATTTGCTCCAAACCATCCAAGAAAAGCCTCCAAGTAAGAAAATTGTAGTAGTCTCTCAAAGTGTAAAATCTTCTTAAGTGTCTTAATAAAAGTCTTGTTGTTTCCCATATAAAAGAGTCGTGTTCAACAATTTGGTATCAGAGCAAGGTTTCTTGATAGTGAGAACGAGTGATTCTCGTTGTATCGTGAGTAGTTTGTGACTCTGCAAGTTTAGTGTCAAAACTAGCTTGTTTGGTATTACCGAGGTACTACCAACACGATGGGTGATCTCCAAGTCGTCGGAGGAATCAAGAAACTCAACAACAACAACTACAAAACGTGGGAAACATGTATGAAGTCCTACTTACAAGGACAAGATCTATGGGAGGTCGTTGGTGGAAGCTAAACTACACCACCAAAGGAAGACGTTAATGGTGCTTTGCGCAAATGGAAAATCAAAGCAGGCGAAGCAATGTTTGCCTTGAAGACCACAATTGAAGAAGAGATGTTGGAGCATATTCGGGATGAGAACACCCCGAAAGAAGCTTGGGACACGTTTGTGACGCTTTTCTCAAAGAAGAATGATACGAGACTACAACTTTTGGAGAACGAGCTATTATCAATCTCACAACGTGACATGACGATTGCTCAATATTTCCACAAGGTCAAGTCAATATGTCGGGAGATTACTGAACTAGATCCACAATCCGTCATTGCAGAAGCTCGAATGAAGAGGATCATTATCCATGGACTGAGGCCGGAATATAGAAGCTTTGTTACTGCTGTACAAGGATGGCCCGTTCAGCCATCACTTGTAGAGTTTGAGAATTTGTTGGCCAGCCAAGAAG